TTTGCACATTCTCCCTGTGTCTGTGTGGGTTTCCTCCGGGTGCTCAGTTTTCCTCCCACAGTCCAAAGATACGGGCTAGGTGGATTGGCCATGAGAAACGCGGGGTTACAGAAATGGGGTGGGTCTGGGTGGGATGTTCTTCAGGGGGTCAGTGTGGACTCGATGGGCCAAATAGCTTGCTTTCATGGTGTAGGGATTCTAGTCTGCTATCAGCATGGCTTGTGTGTGGCTCCAGAACTACAGCAACATTGCTGAGTTTTAACTGCCCTTTGAGTTTGGTCTTGCAGTTCATCCCACTGAATTCAAGAAGGCAATTCAGTACAAGTTCTCAAAGGCAACAAGGATGAGCATGAAAAGCTGGTCTTACCAGCAACTTCCAAAAGGATCATCACAATTAAGGAGAGGATTGAGAGTTGGGGGAAATAGCGGTCCCATTGTATAGATCTTGCAACTCTGTATAAACGTGTGTGTTTCACACTCTTGTTCTTGCACAAACATGGCCCAACTTGCAACAAGTTGATAATCTGACCTATATTAATCATATTGCAGCTACGATGGTGACTCAGATAGCTGGAATTTATTCTATTATATCAACTGTGCATACCACACTGCCAGTACCCCATCCCTATAGAAAGCAAACACACATATTTGTGGTAAACTTAAACTCTTCTTTTATTAACAAGCTACTGTATTATATTTTAGAAAAACAAGAGTGGGTGAGTATCACATTGCTACACATGCATACACACATTACACCAAATTAAGTCCTGACAACCTTGCTGGTTAGTATTCCAACTGATGTCAGGCAGGCAAATGCATACTCTGCTATCACCATCTCCTCTTCAATGCAAGTCACAATCACACTATGCCCAGCTAGCTGCACAAGTGCAATCAAAGTGTTGGGGGAAAACAAATCCTATTTATTTAGGCAAAACTTTTTTTTTAAAAAAAAGGCAACAGGAACAATACTGATGGTAAAGTGGAATGGACTTATGCCCGAATACTAGACAGCACACTGCTCTTCGTTCAAACTACAACATGCGTCAGAATTCAAACTCTTTCCTTACCTCAGTCTTCTCTCACTACAAAACACTCCTTATCCTTAGGGAGAGGGAGAAAAAATCCTAGACAGCTTGCTCATTCATAAACACATACACAAACATAGGTAGTGATATCAGAGCTGCTTGAAATTATGTGCATCTTGGCTCATTCTCGAACACGTTTTTGACAAATGATGGGGGTTAAATAAGCAAGAAAGGGTTGAGTAACAAAAACCATTTTTAAGAAAGTACAGATCTGCAAAGGAAAAAGAAAATCAATAAACTAATGAAAGAAATTGGTTTCTGCTGGAGATTGCAGTCAGCCAAACATAACTGGTAGCCATCACACTGTCCCCTCTCCCAGCATACATACTAAGTACTGGCTCTGGTAATTGTGCACTTCAGAACAGCAAAATGGGAAATACTAGCAGCATGCATATCCATATTAAGTATTTTGTTGCTTATTAATAAATTTAAAAGCACATTAAACAAAAACTGTCCAGAGAGGCAGCCCATAGAGCACCAAATTATGTCATTGTTAAAATATCCAAAGATTCAATAGTAATATGCATATTAACGGGGGTAAATTATTTAGGAATTTAAAAAGGGTCATTCTAATATTCTCACTAGCTCAGGCCAGGTTCAGTACATCTCATTATTTTGTGTGTGAGAAGAGTGGATCTACCCCTGCTGGGTTAACTTGCACACAAGATCACAGGAATGTACAAAATACCAAATACCAAGAGTGTTCACAATTTGGTGCCATTAGCATACTTTATTGATGTTAACCATCAAAGACATTGGAGGAGCATCTGGAGCGTACCTAGAGTTGCATCAAATCAGCACAGCTAACAATTTATGCAATGCTCACTCCTAATAAGGTGATACCCAAGGTTTCCAACACCAAAGGGCATTAAAATCAAGGACAGCATGGTTTTGATCACCAATGAACTGGCCTTTCAACTGATGCTTGTTATTGGGATCTTGCAGTATACTCCATGACAGCACCTTTTCAACAAAACAATTAAAATTCTTTCCAAATTTGAACATGAAATGCTTTGAGGCATTTCTGAGATGTGAAAGACATTAAAAATCAAGATTTTTTTCAAATCTATGTCACAATACAATGTGAGTGTAATAAATGGCAAAGGCCACCACACTGGACTGTTTGCAGGCAGCGAAGTTTCATGCTGAAGGTCACACCTGAGGAAAACATATTCTTACTACAGCTTGAACTTCATTTGGGATTATAAAGTGAGGTACATCACAACATGTCCATTGTGTTTAGTGCCCCATGCTTAATCAGGCAAAACACCTCTCCTGTTAAACCATGCAGATGTATCACTTACCGTTGCTTGTGACACTGCATGTATTGAATCTAAAAATAAAACATCTGATTAGCACAGAGAATTTCAGTAAAACAATGATACCACAGCCTCATACCACACAAAACAATGATAACTGAGGTTGGGCAAATGCAGTTGGTGTCTTTCTCCTTTGCCTCACAACCTTACCTTTGCACAGCACAAGTCCGGTTGACGGAGTCAGAACATTTGACTTTAATCAGTTGTGTGGACAATGCTCTTGTATTTCTAAGGGCAGAAATTTACCATCCAACAGGCCACATTTCAGTGAGTGAAACCATCTGAATTACCCGCCCTCAACTATATCACCAGCATTACCTCTGGATGGCTTTATGTATCTGATGATATGAACGTGTTACTGCAAGAAGGAAGAGATCCAAGTTCAGGATCTCTCAAATTAAAACTGTGCATAAAACTGCCAAAGAGATCTAGGTTTTCAGTTAAGTATAAGGTATGGCACATGAATTTTTTTAATATTGTCTGTGCAATTGCTTATTGGCTGAGCAGTGTAATTACAGAACCTGTCCTTTCAAACTGATCCATAAATGTGGAGAGCATTCTATGGATACAGGCAAGCCACTAGCAGTGAAGGGCAAACAAAAATAGTTCAGATTTCCAGTATCAGACAAACCAAATATATCACAATGCTAAAGTCTAGTCTTACCCTAAAACAGGCACATGGGCTGATCATGTCTCGGGTTGTGACTACTGGAGAATACGGATGGTCCTTATTCAATTTATAATTGGAACATTGAAATACTAGCAGCATGAAACCTGGTTGCTTGGTGTCAGCCCACTTTTAGTGTTCAAACAAAAAACCAAAAAGAATTGCAGATTCTGGAAATGAGAAACAAAATCAGGAACTGCTGGAAAAACTCGGCAAGTCTGGCGACACCTGTGGACAGAAAGCAGAGTTAATGTCTCAAGTCCAGTGATCCTTCTTTAGAACACTTGTTCTGAATAAGGGTCACTAGACTCGAAACATTAACTCTGCTTTCTCTTCACAGTTGCTGTCAGACCTGCTGAGCTTTTCCAGCAAATTCTGATTTTGTTTCGCTTTCAGTGATACATTGCTACGAAAGGCCCAAGGCTCTCATTAAAAAGGATGAGTGGTGCAGCACAAAAAACCTTCAGTTTTGAAAACCAGTTGCTATGAACAAACATTACGTCATCACCAATCACATACTGCAATGAGTTTGTAACAGATTCACTTAGGAAAATAGGGAAATGAGCAAGCAGTGTGCCACCAGCAGGACGTACTCCCCTGAAACATCAGCCAGACTGGTGAAAGAATGGCCCATGTCCACAAAACAAAGGCACATTAACACTTCTTTGCCAAGTCACCTTATAAATACGTTTACAAAATACGAATTAATTCTACTTGAACCATTTACATTTAAAATAAACTGACTTCTGATACAGAAATTATGCTGGCTAGTTTAAATTTAAGACTTTCCTTCCTTTGAGGATAGTTTCACAAAAAGATTTGAAAACATATAAACTATACAGGGAAACACATCTCAGAACCCAATGGTTGTGCAAATCAGTACGTTGATACACAGCACACACACACATACAAAACACAAAGTGACAGCACCAAGTTAGAGACTGCAACTAAAGCTATACTCCATACACTGGTTCTCATTATGCCTTAGAAACTAAATGATATGATAAGGAACTATTTAAAATCCTTGTATTTCAATAGCTTCTAGATGATTAACTACAGTAACTGTTCAGAGCAAGGTACTTAAAAAGGGTGCACATCAGTTGGTCGGACAGGCAGTTTCTCCTCGTCCATCATACAGAGCAAGGAAAAGCATGGAGAATAAAGTTTCATCTTCAACAGCTCATGAGTTCAGATGTCTGCACAGAGTTTTGATCAGTTAGAAAAGGATACAAGAGCTGAATGAAATGTAACACACGAATACTACTGAATCCTAAATAATATATATATAAACTGATTGGACCATAACTCAAAACTGTGATGCACTGTAGGAAGTAACGAGAAACAGAAAAGACACAAGGGTCCATAAATAATCATTCATGGGCAATCACTCAGGTAGCCTGTCCAAGCAAAAACTATTTGAGTGTAATTCTGCTAGGCCCTTTAATAGAAAGCCAAGCTCGTTCCTGTACAGCCCAATTTGTAAACCAAAAATGAGGTGTAATCAAACCCCAGAAAGCCAGGTAGCAGATTCCTGGAGCAGTGAATCAGTAGTGACTGATCTGTCGCACACAAATAAAAAGCACAGCTTGACATAACGGTAAGTACTTTTAAATGGTTGTTTAAAATGGAAATTACCTCTAGGAGGTTTAATGGTAATGTAGTATGAAAGCATGGTGCTCACTATGTGCATCAAATTAACAAACATCAGTTTAAAGTGCTTTCTGCGACAACCAAAGTGCTTAGGGAATCCTATGCTGGTTGGTACCTAGCTTAAGTTTTCCAATTATTGAGCATTCTGTTTAATAGGTCATGATTGGAAAATTCGGGGCAAATTGTCAGTTCTGCTATTTGAATTAAGTTTAGTCCAGCAAATTTTCTCTTACTGTTCCCCATGCAAGTTTTAGGTTCCTCCATGGATTGGTGCTATGTGCTCCCAGGCATCATGCACTAGACTGGCCCCCTAGTCCTCTATAATTGTAGTTTTTGACCAAAACAGATATAAGCTGTTGCAACCACAGAGGAGTTAACAGTAATGGGGATGTCCACATGATCAAGTGGCACCTGGAAATTAATATGGCTCAACAGAACAACTTCCCTCCCATTCCCTAACAAAGACATTTGATTATTTTTGCAAACTTAAGTAAATATCAGGTTAAAGGAATAAGTAGTAAAATTTGGTCCCAACAAGGGATGGAGGAGAAATTAAAAAAAAAGGAAGGTTACATATACAATAAGACAAGACATTATTTTGAAATACATGGTACTCAATCCACCACTTGGCTGGGGACTGAGTGTGACGTAAAAGAGGCAACATCTCTGAAAGAGAAATCCAGGAACTTGGATGCAGTGCACCAGCCTGCAAATGGTTTAACTCCATAGCTCTCAGAACATTTCTCTTGTTGCACAGTATCACCCAGAGATAGATGGTTGGAGAAAGAAAGTGAGATCATGCAAAAGAAAAATGTAACAAGCTCAAGTTTCATTTGATGACTGAGTCTACCCGTTTGGGTGCGACACCAAAGCTTATTTCCATTATTGATCAGTGGAGTGTGAAGATTATGATCTGCCCTAGTAAATTGGTTCCACTTTCAACTGCATTACAATTTGTATTGTTATAGCAGATTAATTTTTGGAGGGCCAGGATTTCTAGTAAGCACTGTCCTCCAAATTATATTTAGTTGTGGAGTTGGACTTGGAATGTTCATTGGGAGGAGGTTTGAGAGGGTTCCTCAGCCAACCCTCACCTCCAGAAGTGCTTCTGGTTAACATTCGACTTGAGGTTGCAGCTGCCGCCTGAGGCTTAGCGATCGTCGATGTAACTGCTGCATCTGCTGCAGCCGCTCTCGCTGTCTGGCTAGGTTCTGTGGCATTGGGTATCTCTGAACTCCATACAGGTACCTGTAAGGTATCCTCACGTGGCAAGCAGTTGCCCGGCATCGTGGTTGGGGCATGGGAGGCAGCAGCATCCAGCGTTTCCTCTCTGAGCAATAACGGTACGCCTCCTTCCGATACTGTTTGTCCATGTCATCACTGTTCTTCCAGCCGCCAATTATGAATACATCATCACGGAAATAGCAAATCGCCGCCCCCTCAATACTCAACACTTCGGGGGGCAAGCTCTCCAAGATTTCATCAGCTGTCATGTTAGAGATTTTCTGCTTTGCTTCACTATCTGTCACAGGGTAACATTTGGGGCAGCAGGAAGCTGTGTGGTAAAAATTTGTTGTTGCAATAGCCATCTGGAAGGCACAGTAGTTATCAAGCAGTGGCAGAGATTCCACATCTTGCCACTGCCTTGTGTCAGTATCATACTTTGCATTTATAGTCTCCAATCCATCTTCGTTATCGGTGTCCACAGGGGTGCGAGCAGTGATGTACACAAAACGATCTTCCACACTGATAGCTTTAACGTCACGTAATATTTTGGGAGCTGATTCCAGGTGGTGCCATCTATCCTGATCAGGTTCATATACGTCAACATCTTTGAACCCTGGGCTAAAGTTCCCATGTCCCCCAATACTGTACAAATTCTGCTTAACTGCTGACAGCCCAAAGGAATGCTTTCTTGTGATCAGGTTGCTAACCTGCTCCCAGCTGTTTCTGTTTGGGCTGTATCTCTCCACTGTCTTTGCAAATCCAGGTTCCATGGAGCCGGCCACATACACGTGAGAATCCGTGATGGCCATAGCATGGCCGTCCAGGTGGTTGTGAATGTGGGGAAGATTCACCCATCGATCTTCATCAATGAAATACCCTACACACTCACTCAGATAATCTCCACCCTCCGACACACCACCCACTACCATGATGATGTCCATGTTCTGTCCAAAACGAGGCTGGAATGACACAACCTGGGATGCCCAGTTCTCCAGGTTGGCAGGCTGAAGATTTTCCGACCTTAATGCATGACCTTCAACTGCTTCTGAAACAAGTCTGAGGCAGCTGGCATTATCAGCCACAAGCCGCTCAGATTTGATGATTCGGGTTAGGTATGTGGGCTTCATCTGAGGCAACCGCAATAGCTGAAATAGCTCCTCAAAGTGCTTTTCCCTCTCCTCTGGATTCCGTTGCACCCACTTCACCACAGCCTCAAAAAGAACTTCCTCAGAGTCCACTGTGATTTCAGAGTCTGACAGCCAGTCCCTGACCAGGTGAAAAGGCAGTGTGTAGAACTCATCATCCTGTACCACCTTGGAGAAGTCCCTGCGGATCATGTCTGCGGCCTTCAAAGCCAGCTGGTCCAGGGAGTACATGTGGGCCAAACTGTGAACTGCCACACAGTTGGTGAGATTCAGCTTTTTCTTTAGAAACTCCCCACAGAATTCCTTCAGCTGCAGCAAGAGGAACCTGAAACAAGGAAATGGCACTTTTGGAAAATCATGTACTCTCTATTAGTGGCAGTTACATTTGAAAACTAAAATGCACTACATGTTTTACATTTTTAAATTAAAAAGTTACCACAAAAACTCCATATTGCATGAATATGAGTCAATTAACCAAAGCAGTTTCATTCCATATCTTCTGAAACAGGACCAGAAATATAACAAGAAATTAGTGCCAAGTAAACTGGACGGCTTGGAAAAGAGAGTGGTGAGTGTTGGCTACCTAATACTAAGATGTGTTTAGCTTCTGCATAGATGCTACTGTTCAATTCTGGCAGTGATTCGTTTACAGCCAGTGTGCAAAATGTAGCCTGTACAGATCTTTCCATAGCATCCAAGCTGAGGCACACACTCACTCTTTAATCCCAATTTTGGAAAAAAACAAACATCAACATTACACCACAGAATCACTTCCATCAAAAATAAAACTGCCTCAAATTTGCAGAGCAGTACAAATGTCCTATATGATGACTGATTCCTTGTCTGGTGCCTTTGATATTCCATGCTCCTCAAATGCTTCTGTCACAATATTCCTATGCACTATCCCCTCTTGCCCTAACAATTATATAACAAACCTCTCAACTCAAATAGCTTCCCAATCTACACCCACATAGGCACAGGGGTGCTCATCCTTGGTCCTGTACAGCTTAACTTTAAACAATGCTACCCAGATTAATACAGTCAACCTGAGGACATTCGGCTGTACCTCATCTGCTATTGTACTCATCCTGCAAAGTGTTTTACCATCTTCAATTGCTTGTTCTAATGAAATCCACAGAGTTAGATCACATTGTTTGGAAAAGGCATCTAGGTTATATACCAACAGTGAAGGCTAATGAAAAGACTATAATAGATGTCTCTTTGGTTTTGTAAGGAGGTATTTGGCAAAATGCCACAAAGAAGACAGTTTAACAAAACTTACTCATGAAGTAGGAAGACACAATGGATATTGCACAAGTGGTGTGAAATCGTTACATTTCAGACTGTCTCTCCATCCCACACTAGTGAATGAGTCTGGAGTTTAGAAGAATGACAGGTGATTTGATTGAAGTATACAATATCCTGAATGATCTTGACGAGGTGGATGTGAAAAGTATGTCTCCTCGCAAATGAGTACAGAACTAGTGACATCATATTAAAATTAGGGGCCACCTTTAGAACAAAAAATAAGGAACTTTTTCTGTCAGAGAGTTGTGTGACTTTGTAACTCTCCATCCTGGAAGATGGAGGTAGTAAGTTCATTGAATATTTTTAAGGTAGAACAAGATGGATTTTTGTTATGCAGGGGATCAATGGTTATCAGGGGTAGATGAAAATATGGAATTCAAAACACAAACAGATTGGCCATGATCTTAGTGACTCACAGAGCAAGCGCGACGGGTTAACTGCTCCTAGTTTATACGCTTCCCACCCCACCCCCTACCAGCCAACAGATGTCAAATGACCCCTCTTTCTGATCAATGGGTGTGAACCAACCTTTCCCCAATGGGAGTAGATTCCCAATGATTGTGGATCACCCAACCGATAGAAGTGAATTCCCTCAATAAGTTCGTCCCCCTACCAATTGGAGTGGGTGTTGCCCTTCTCTGGCCAATGGGAGTGAATGCCTCCCAAATGCACACCCCTTGGCTAATAGGTGCGGATCTACCACCCTAGGCAATGGTTGTAGATCTCCACCCTCAAGAGTGCACCAATCATTCCAATGGCAACGGGGGGTGGGGGGGAATCCCCTCATCCTGATAATTGGGTGTGGATTATCCTGTCTGATTCCTAGATGATTGAGGCAGAATCTTCCCAGCAAGGGGATGAGTGTTAACCTCCCCAGCCAAACGCAAGTGTATCCATCTCCTCAACCAGTGGGAATAGATAAACCCTCATCAAAACCCATGTCAGTTGATACGCATCACCCCTCACCCAACTAAATGGAACGGATTACTCCCTTTTCCCGGGCCAATGGGAGTGGATCACTCTGCACCCTGGGCCGATGGGAGTGGATCCCCACCACCAACAGGAGTGGATCCCCTTCCCCCACCAACAGGAGTGGATCCCCCCACTACCACCAAAGGGCGTGGACTCCCTGCCAATAGGAGTGGATCCCCCATCGCCAATGTAAGTGGATCACACCCTTGCCGCCAATGGGAGTGGACCATCCACCTTCCCCACCGCCACTGGAGGTGGATCACTCCTCTCCCCCTGCCAATGGGAGTGGATCACCACCACCGCTGCCAATGGGGGTGGATCACCCCTCCCCCATTGCCAACGGGAGTGGATTTCACCCTTGCCGCCAATGTGGGTGGATCACCACTTCCCCTACTGCCAACATGGGTAGATCACCCCCATCGCCATTATCAATGGAAGTGGATCCCCTGTTCCCTTCACGAGTGGATCACCACCTTCCCCACCAAGTGCGGATCACCCACTCCCCCACCACCGCCAACGGGCGTTGATTTCCCCCCACTGCCAATGGGAGTGGACCACACTCTCCCCGCCACGACTAATGGGAGTGGGTCACTCTTCCCCCTTCGGCCAATGGAAGTGGATCACTCCTCTCCCGGGCCAATGGCAGTGGATCACTCCTACCACCGGACCAATTGGAGTGCAGCTCCGCCCTCACCTGTCGGCCAGCTCCAAGACCTCATGGACGGTGCCGGTGCACACGCGGATGGAGCCGGTGTACATAAACTGGAGGACGGCTTCAACGGTGTCGGGGTCAGGCCCGGGCTCCGTGCTCCACTTGCGCATCTCCACCCGCTCGGAGCGGGATTCCTCGAAGTTGCCGCCCAGCAGCGGCTCGAAGTACTCGGTGGCGGCGGCCAGCACCGAGCGGTGGGCGCGGAACTCGCGGCCTCCCACCGACAGAGTTAGGTCACAGAACAAGCCGCGCTTTCTCTGCTCGTTCTGGCGGCGCGACAGCTCCAGGCAATGGGTCCTCGACTCGAACACATCGGCCTCGCCATCGCCGTCGTCCCCTCCCGGGCCCGGGGCCGCCGCCATCACGCTGCCCAACCGCCAACGGCCCCGGACCTCCCCTCTGTACGCGTTACCGGAATCTGCGCTCCAACGTCATCAATTTTGGTGTTCTGTACCTCCGCTTATGTTAACGTCATAGGAATCTGCGTTCCTGCGTCATCACTTTTGGTACCCTGTGCTCCCGCCCTAATTCTATTAGCCTTTTCGTTTGCACAGCGTCATCGGATGCTGCGGTCTTACGTTAATCATTTTGGAGGCGTGTGGCCCCGCCCCGCCATAGCGTAATCAGACTCTGCGTCCATGTGTCAGTCATTTCCGCGCACTCTTTCCCGACCGCGCTCGAAGCTTCGTGGATCCAGTGGCAACTCCTTCAGTCAACGGGCCTCAAACTGGCTCGAACTTGGCTGGTTGCCCTTGTAGCTGAGGGGTGACACGTTGTTGAGATGTTTAAAACTGAGGGGCATAAACAGGAGAAAGTTGGTGGAGAGATCAAAGGGGGGGGCATTGCATGAAACTAAGAGGCAGGAGGTCTATAAGGGGGTGTGAGGTGACATTGGTTCACTCAGAGGGCAGTAGGAATCTGCAACTCAGTGCCTGTAAGGGAGAAACACTCGTAACATTTAAGAAATGTCAGGGCCTACAAAGCTATGCGCCAAGTGCTGGAAAATGGAATCAGAATAGTTAGCTGGTTAGTTTTGTCCAGCATGGACTCAATGGGCTGAAGGGCCTTTTTTTGTGTAGAAGACTTCTCTGACTAACGCCCATTTAACCTTTTGATAAGACACTATTTAGACGTTAGCTAGAGTGTTATGACCAGTTCTAGATGCCATACTTTGTTAATGATGTGAAGGCATTCGAGAGAGTGGAGAAGATATTTGCAAGTAAAACTGAAATACTGGAAATCTGAAACAAACACAAAGTCCTGGAGCGACACAGCAAGCCTGGCAGCATCTGCAGAGAGAAACGGGTCATGCCGACTCATGGCTGCTGCCGCAGAGGTGAGTTTGGGTCCAGTACAAGACCCAGTGGCAGCGGCTGCATCGGTGAGGTGGGCCTGAAGGACTCATAGCAGCGGTGGAGACGAGCTTGAGACGATGTGGTATCTGGTGGCATTGGTGGTGTCTGCATTGGCAAAATCCAGCGAGGGCAACAGTGGAGGTGAGATGAAGAGGACTCGTGCCTGGCTACTGGGTCCATGGTCCATGACAGAACACTCAACAAGAAAGACTATAAAGTTGAACACTGTATTTTTCTGCCTTTATATTCAGGTTTATTTTTGTGTCTTTAAGATGACACTATACAACACTTTTCACTATATTTTGTAACAAAAAACACATGACAACAAATAAAATCAAATCAACATTAACGTTTTAAGTCCAGTATGACTTGATGGAATTATTTCGCATGCAGAGGGAAGCCATGCGGCTCATCATACCTGCACTGGTTCTGTTATCTAGTGCCAGTCTCCAGCCTTTTCCCTAAATCCCATCATTACAGTTCAAAAACCAAATCGAAAGCCATCTTGAAAGGCTCAGTTGAACCTGCCTCCTTCACGTTTCCCAGTAATGCTTCTTCAGAACCTGATTTCGGACAATGGTTACAGGGATTAGGTACAAGTTACGAGGATAGATTGGAGAATTGTAGGAAAAGAAATAGTCAGCCATGGATGTCTAAGGAAATAAAGCAAAGTATCAGATTTTTAAAAAACACATACGAAAAAGCAAAGAGTAGTGGGAAACTAGTAGCCTGGGAAATCTTTAAAGGCCAACAGAAAGCCAAAAAAAAAAAGTTATAAAGAAAAGTAAGTTAGATTATGAGCGTAAACTGGCTCAAAATATAAAAACAGGCAGCAAAAGTTTCTATAAATATGTAAATCATAAAAGTGTGGCGAAGGTAAACACTGGTCATTTAGAGAATGAGAAGGCCAATTTAATAACTGGGAATGAGGAAATAGCTGAGGCATTAAACAGTTATTTTGTGTCGGTCTTCACAGTGGAAGACACAAATAAGATGCCAAAAACTGATGGCAAGAAGATTATAGCAGGTGAGGACCTAGAAACGATCATTATCACAACGGGGCTAAAGGTAGACAAGTCTCCTGGCCCTGATCAAATGCATCCTAGGGTACTAAAAGAGGTGATGGGGAAATAGCAAATGCACTGGTAATTATGTACCAAAATTCACTGGACTCTGGGGTGGTTCCCGCAGATTGGCTGTTTTCCAATGTGATGCCACTGTTTAAAAAAGGAAGTAGACAAATAGCAGGTAACTATAGGCCAGTTAGCTTAACTTTGGTAGCGGGGAAAATGCTTGAATCTATCATTAAGGAAGAAATAGCAAGACATCTGGATATAAATTCTCCCATTGGGAAGACCCAGCATGGATTCATGAAGGGTAGGTCATGTTTAACTAATTTGGTGGAATTCTTTGAGGACATTACTTGCATGGTGGACAATGGGGAACCTGTGGATGTAGTGTATCTGGATTTCCAGAAGGCATTTGACATGCCACACCAAAGGTTGATACACAAGATAAAGTTGCACGGTATTACAGGTAATGTATTGGCATGGATAGAGGATTGGTTGACTAGTAGAAAGCAAAGACTAGGGGTAAATGGGTGTTTTCTGGTTGGCGGTCAGTGGCTAGTGTTGTGCCTCAGGGATCAGTGTTGGGACCACAATTGTTTACAATTCACATAGATGATTTGGAGTTGGGGACTAAATGTGGTGTGTCAAAATTTGCAGATGACACTAAGTTGAGTGGTAGAGCAAAATGTGCAGAAGACACTGAAAGTCTACAGAGGGATATTGATAGTCTAAGTGAGGGGGCAAAGGTCTGGCAGATGGAGTACAATGTTGATAAGTGTGAGGTCATCCATTTTGGTAGGAATAACACCAAAATGGACTATGTTTTAAATGGTAAAAAATTGCAGCACACTGCTGTGCAGAGGGACTTAGGTGTCCTTGTGCATGAATCGCTAAAAGTAGGATTGCAGGTGCAGCAGGTAATTAAAAAGGCAAATGGAATTTTGTCTGTCATTGCTAGAGGGATGGAGTTTAAAAACAGGGAGGCTATGCTGCAGCTGTATAGGGTCCTGGAGAGGCCACACCTGGAGTACTGTGTGCAGTTTTGGTCTCCTTACTTAAGAAGGGATATACTAGCACTGGAGGGGGTGCAGAGGAGATTCACTCAGTTGATTCCAGAGTTGAGATGTTTGGATTATGAAGAGAGACTGAGTAGGCTGGGATTATACTCACTGGCATTCAGAAGAATAAGGGGAGATCTTATAGAAACATATAAGATTATGAAGGGAATAGATAAGGTGGAGGCAGGGAGGTTGTTTCCACTAGCAGGGGAAACTAGGACTAGGGGGCATAGCCTCAAAATAAAGAGAAGCAGATGTAGGACTGAGGTCAGGAGGAACTTCTTCACCCAAAGGGTTGTGAATCTGTGGAATTCCCTGCCCAGTGAAGCGGTTGAAGCTACCTCGCTGAACGTGTTTAAGGCAAGGCTAGATAAATTTTTGAACAGTAAAGGATTTAAGGGTTATGGGTAAGTGGAGCTGAGCCTCGAGGGGCCGGATGGCCTACTCCTGCTCCTAGTTCTTATGTTTTTATGTTCTTAAACTCTTGCCTTGTTTTCCACACCAGTGACTGCATTTTAAAACGTAGAAGGGAGAACAAGTGCATGGATATTGGAATTGAAAAGAATTTGCACTTACATGCATCTTTGAGCGCACCTTTTTACTCTTTATTCTAGTTTATTACAATGCTGCTAACAATGCAGTGTCCTTTTACAGTGGCGAGACAACATACACTGGATGACCACTTTGTGGAACATCTCCATTCTGTTCTACTGAGACGGAAGCTGAACCAAGAATCCCAAGGCTTCTGCCGCTGGCACTAGATCAGTGATTGACACTACTATCATAGACAGGAGAGGAGAAAGAAATTTAAACTTCCAAATCTCTTTCCTTACTTGCCACAGTGTTGCTGTTTTGGAAATATAGATGTTTATTTGTAAGTTCCCTTTAACGTGTGATCAATTTAAAGAACGTGCAGCAGACTTTCAGGGGTTTAAGATAAAAATGATTATTCTCACACCCAGAGTCACACGTCACACGTCACACACCACACACCCAAAACAGATATAAGTTAAAGAAAATAGTACATTGGTTTAACACTAGTACAAAAGGCGTTAAACCACTTCTACATGTTAAAATAGTTAGCTATTCAAGTGTTTGACTTTTTGTGGGCTCAGAAGAGAAAAAGTCATCCATTTGTATCCTAACATATTTAAAAAAAGTCTGATAATCAGACTGTTCTGGAGTCCTATAATGAAATGAATATTAAGCAGGTCGGCAAACTGCACAATTGAGACTTTGTAGAAGGTTGTCATATTTCTGTATAGATACACTTGGAGTTTGGAATCAGACCAGGGGGTTTGTAAAGGCCTTTACAGCATCCTTGCTCTTAAAAGGCAAACATGGCAGTGTCTTCATATTCTGGCAGTCTACCTAATTCTTTTCTGGTTTTTGAGAAAAATGACTAGAGTATCAGAAGCAAGGAATCCAGAACAGTCTGATTATCAGACTTTTTTTTAAAATATATATTAGGATACAAATGGATGACTTTCTCTTCTGAGCCCACAAAAAGTCAAACACTTGAATAACTAACTATTTTAACATGTAGAAGTGGGCATCACTGGCTGGTCAGCATTTATTGTCCATTCCAATTTGCCCTTGAGAATGTGA